GCCAATACTTTTCCCTGCCTATTCCCTAAGCAGAAAGACAAAACACATTTCAGAGCTCTAAGTCCAAGAAGGTACAAGACCCCAGTCCTGTCTTGGTTCTTCTTGGGAGCCAAGGCTGGAAACAGCTCTTGGAGACACATTTTCCTGTTGGAGTCAGTAAGTCAGGAGTCTCTCTGATTTCTTCAGAGAGAAATCAGAGTGCAGGGATTGAATTAAAGTTTTGAATGGAATCAGTAAGTGAATAGATGGAGTGAATAACTAAGTAAGTAAATGGAAGAAGATTTAAGTGCTTTTAGTGAGTAAAAGGTCTTTAGATGCCTGAGAAGTAGTACACGTTCTAGTGAAAGTTGAAAAACATACTAGTGTTTCCTTAGAGGCTCCAAGAACCGAGCTTCAGACATAATAGAGTTAGAGTTAAGAATATTGCTTACATTTTTCAGTTAGAACAAGATAGACCATGTACGTAGTCTATACGTAGCCTGGCGTGCTAAGAAACTAGAATTCTAATAGGTTAAGAAGTAGTGGTTGGAGTTTGTGTCTTAGCTAGTTGGAAAGTTTCTATAAAAGATCATGCATCAGGGAGAGCTGGGGCTCTATGCCATGGCTTTATGCCATATGCATTTTGCCATTGCATTTTGCCACTGCAGTTTTGCCATTGCTTTATGCCATTGCTTTGCTTTGCTTTGTTTTTGCTTTTGAGACTGATTTGCTTCTACAATAAATAACTTTACAGCAACTATTAGCTGCTTCACTTTTTACACAAAAGGAGAAGAAGCCTGACAGTGTGGGTGCCCTTGAGGCTCCCGGAGGTTCCTTGAAACCTCACATTTTCATAAACACATTTCCTATCTGGGGGAGGGGGAGGGCAGTGCTGTGGAGGATTTAGAGACCGTTGAACCAAGGGAGGAATTACTTCACCATGTGTGGTCCTAATTGGTGATTTTTGTCAAATGTGCTAATTTGCTAAGCTTATCAAATTGCATTCACCCAATATGGGGGAGGAATTCTGTGGACAAGTGCTATATCTGACCCCTGAGGCCTCCAATACACATCAGCCTTTATATTACCTCCTGTACTAATATTAGGTCCAAAGTGGATTGTTTTCTTTCTAGGTTCTTTAAGGCATCACTTGAAGCCAAGAATAGAATGCAGAAGCAGGCAGAGTGACATCTAGCACAAGGCATTTTGAAGCCTTCTGTTAGATGAAGAAAGTCAACATTCACTTGCCTTCACCTGGAAAGGACAGCAACTGCCTTCAACAAGACTTCCTCATGGCATTCTAGGATCC